CAGAAAAAGGAATCTTAGAAGACCCAAATCCAAAAAGCCACCCATCGCTAGGAAAACATGTAACAGATGCAATTTTAAATTTTTACGAATGTGATGATGAAAACAGTCAAGTAATGCATTGGGAAAAAAGACTGTGTATTCGTAAAAATCGATGGAAAAAGGACACAAATGCAAAAACGGCTCATTCTAAGCAATTTGAAGGAGTTGCATACTCTTTTCAAACTCAACCATCCGGATCTTGAATGTAGTTTTTCAAAATTTGGATCATTACGACCACAACATTGCGTTCTTGCAGGAGCAAGCAGCACACATTTAGTTTGTGTGTGCTCCATACACGAAAACGTACGATTAATGGTAGATGGAGTAAATATAAAAGCACTGACTGCATGCAGTAGAAAGCCGATAAATACCTATAAAGATTGCCTACAGCGCATGATTTCCAATACTTCACGCACAGAATGTTTTCTAGGAACCTGCCCCAAATGTCCTAGAACTGAAAATATCAATGAACAACTTCTGGAGATATTTGATGACAACAAAAAAGAAACACACGGTTTAAGATTTTCTTAACGACTGACTTTTATTATAATTTTATAAGTTAATGACAAGTGTGTGTCCGTATAATATGTTAAGCTAGGTGCACACCTACCATATAATATAAAATATAAATATAGAATAATATAGTATGTGTGGTATTATTGTTCCACTATAACTCCTTGGTTGCTGACGGCTCGAATGCAAAAGAGAGCGATGCTTACCAGCGTTCTGCTTTTATACGTTTTCTGCTTGTCAAGTCACAACGTTGCCATCGTGCTTTTTGTGTTTTGATAATTATCTGTGGTTGCCAAATCCGCCACAGTACTCCCCCCTTAGAAGATAGCCGAAGGATTGTGATGAAGACTACGTGTGAGTGTGACCTTTGTCTATGGCGTCTGACTGTAATGGACTGTTGTTTAATTGAAGCGGGTCTTCGGCGAACGTAACCTTTTTCTTCGTGGTTCTTACTGGTGGTGTGTAATGCTTTGGCCTATGATTGTCTACCAAGATTTCTAAGAACTTCGGTTCTGCTGGAACATCTGTATTTTCCAGGAACGCTGGCTTCAATCTTTCGATTGAAACGTTCAACTTTTTGTCGCCTACTCCAATTGTGAACACTCGTTCACTTATTTTGTTCAATACTTTGTACGGTCCTGTATATGGTGGTTCTAGTGGTTTTCTGATGTGATCTGAACGCAGAAAAACGTGTGAGCAATTGTTGAGTTCTTTATGTATGAAAATTGGCCTGTTGCTATGATGTGCTGCTGGCGTTGGTCGCACTTCACGCAAATATTCACGAAATTTGTTTAGAAAATTTGATTGATTAGGGGGCGTTGACGAAGTTGATTGGATATTATGTTCAAAGAATTCTCCAGGCAGACGGAGGTTGATACCATAAATCATCTCTGCAGCAGATGCTCCTATGTCTTCCTTCACTGATACTCGTAACCCTAAAAGAACTGATGGGAGTATTTGGAGCCATGTATGTTTCGGTCTTGCCATTAGTGCTGCTTTTAGCGTACGGTGGAACCTCTCTACCATGCCATTCGCTGCTGGATGATAAGGCGTAGTGCGGATTCGTTTGGTTCCTAACAGGTCAGTCAAAGCTCAGAACAGATCTGCTTCGAATTGTGTTCTCTGGTCTGTTGTTATTACTTTCGGCGCACCAAACCGGGATACCCAGGTTGCATAGAAATTTACGGCTACTGTATCTGCGGTCATGTCTTTTAAGGGTGTCACTTCTGGCCATCGACTAAACCTGTCAATCATGGTCAATGCGTATCTATAACCCTGACATTCTGGTAATGTAATTAAATCCAGATGGACATGGTCGAATCGCTGATCGGTTTTTGCAAATTCGTTTGGCTTCATTCTGTTGTGCCTATTGATTTTGGACTGCTGACAACCCTTACACTGTCGAACCCAAGTGTTTATGTCTTTGCGCATTGATGGCCACACGTATTTTGATGCAAGTTGTCGCGCTGTGGATCTGGAACCAGTATGTGCCAAAGAATGCACTAAGTTGAATACCTCTTTGCGTAAAGATTTGGGTATAAATGGTCTTAACTGGCCCGTGGTGACATCACAGTATGTCCCCAAGTTCGATTGCAACTACAATTTCTTCAGTTGTAATTTCGTGCCTGTGGACAACAATTGTTTTAGTTCTTCGTCATCTTCCTGGTGCTTGCTTATCCGCTCTAGGCTGCAAGTTTCTGGCATGGCTATCGAGTTGATCCGCGAGAGTGTGTCTGCTACTATGTTGTCTTCACCTGACACATGCACGATCTCGGTCGTGAATTCTGCTATGTAACTCAGATGGCGCAATTGACGAGGAGATACCTTATTGGCTTTCTGCTGAAAAGCGAACGTCAACGGCTTATGGTCAGTGCGGATGACAAAATGACGCCCTTCAAGCAAATGACGAAAATGTTTTATGTATGCGTAAACTGCTAGGAGTTCTCTGTCATATGTACTGTAATTTACTTCTGCCAATTTAAGCTTGGCGGAGAAGAACGCTATTAGCTTCCACTGGTCATTGACTCGCTGCTCCAGAACTGATTCTATTGTGGTGCTGGAAGCATCGGTTGAAAGACGAAGAGGTGCTGTTGGTGATAAGAATACTAGCAGAGTTAATGTTGATATGCCTGCCTTACAGTTTTCAAATGATGTGTTTAGATCTGCTGTCCAGACTATTTCTGTTTTATCTCTCTTCTTGGATTTTCTCAGTAGGCTGCTTAGGGGTGCTTGCAGCTGTGCCGCTCGAGGAATGTACTTTCGATAATAATTGACAACTCCAAGAAATTGACGAATTTCATGTATTGTCTTGGGTCGGACATAATTTTGAATGGCTTCTACACGCTCTGCTGGGGGATTCATGCCACTTGCTGACAAATGATAACCCAAGAACTGCAACTCATCAACACTGAACTCGCATTTAGCAATATTAACACTAAGATGTGCTTCCTGTAGTTTATTTAGCACAATTTCTACGTGTTTTTCATGTTCTTCCATGTTTCGAGAAAAAACCAATATGTCATCGAGATAGCAGAAAACGAAAGAAATATTTCTGAATAAAGAATCCATATGTCTTTGAAATGTTTGTGTCGCGTTTTTGAGACCAAATGGCATAACAACGAATTCGAACATGCCTAGTGGAGTGCTTACTGCAGTTTTACAGATGTCTTCTGAGGCCATTGGTATATTATAATACGCTTTGGTGATATCGATTTTCGAACATTTACAGGCGCCAAAAAGTCTCTCAGAAATTTGATCCAGGAACGGTATTGGGTATTTGTCTGGTTTAGTATGTGCATTTACATTGTGACCGAAAAGTTTCCGGTCACAATGTACAAACGCAAAATTCTTAATCTTCATCAATATTTATTTTATCTCCTTCAAAATATGCTCCATTAGAAGCGATACACAAATGCCAACGTTTCTTCCAATCATCAAAACATTTTTTATAGGCGCTTTCCGGTATGGCTTTGAGTTCCATATGCGAATTCTGTTTTACGTCTTCTATGGATTCAAAACGCGTTCCTCTGAGTGGTAATTTGAGTTTGGGAAACAGGAAAAAGTCACACGGTGCAAGATCAGGTGAATACGGTGGCTGTTCGATGGTATTTATTGAATGTTTGGCCTTAAAATCGTTTGATAATGTTGCTCGGTGCGAGGGAGCATTATCGTATGAAAATCCATGAATTATCCTTCCACAATTGAGGCCGTGGTCTCACGACCGATGCCTAGCTCTCGTGCTATCTCTCTAACACTCACATGAGGATTTTTGGAACACGATTTCCTTTGCCTTTTCAATGTTTTCGTCGGTGGTAGAGGTCGAAGGTCGTCCAGAACGCGGCATGTCTTCGACGGTCGTACGACCGTCGTGAAAGGCTTTGTACCACTCATAAACTTGAGTTTTCGATAAAAATGATTCCCCATAAGCCTTTTGTAGCATTCGCAACGATTCTGCACACGAAATTTCGTTCGAAACACAAAATTTGATGCAAACTCTTTGTTCAATATTTTTTTCCATTGTTTTTTCCGCAACGCACTACTGAGGTGAACTGGTTTCAACAGCTGCCGTAAACGAACTGTCTGACAGATCGCGCTCATTTTTGGCATAGTAATTAAGGACAGTGCTGCCAAACTACATAAACTTAAAATATCGAAAAATATACAGCGCGCGAATTTTAAATGAGAACTTCCGAAAACCTTTCGGTCACAATGTAGTCTGCGGAAATCTCCACACGCTCTCAAACCGCCGGTTTTCTTTTTCACTAGATGAACGGGACTGGACCATTGACTATCAGATGGTCGCACTACTCCTTCTTCAAGCAATGTGCTGAATTCGTTCTTTATAGCTGTTAATTTCTCACCTGCATAACGCCTCGGCTTCTCGGCTATCGGTTGACAATTCGTTTCCATACGGTGATTAACCTGCGAGTTTTTCGGAAGGCGATACGAGTTGGGATTAGCTAGGTCAATGTATTTATTGATTATTGTGAAGAGATTGCTATTTTTGTGCAGCGTTGAGATCGAGTGTGTGGTGACTTTTTTGATTGCCCCAATCACATTTAACGTTGTTAGCGGATCAATTAGCTTTTTTCTCTTTATGTCTAGTATGAGACCAAATCTGGATAAAAAATCTGCTCCTATGATCGGTGATTTTACGTCGGCTATAATGAAACTCCAACAAAATTCACGGCGAAGACCTAGGTCAACTTTCAACCTTTTTACTCCAAATGTATTTATTGTTGTGTTGTTCACTGCATATAATCTGACGTCTTTACTTGTAATCGGATTTGGTTTACTATTGATGAGAGTAACTGGCACAACTGAGACAACTGAACCTGTGTCGACTAAGAAGTTCAATTTGTTTAGTTTGTCAAAGACGTGAAGACGGGTCTCGATCGTGCAGCAGGGAGGTTCATTATCGCATGCCGCACTTGTTTGCGATAACGTTTTTAGTTTTCCGCTGTTGGTGTTGAGCTGTGATTTTCAGCTGCCTTGCTGAATTCACATGGTGGAGTGCATTTAAACGCCCTGGACCCAAATCGTGTATGGTAACTGCATACTTTGTTTCTCATATTGCTCTGCTTGCGATCTCTTTTTTCGTGACGACGGTCCGTACTTCTATCACGACTGCTCGGTTTTAACTGCATCGTTAACTCACCCAAGCTGCTTATAATTTGCTGTACTGCTGTCTCTAATGCAAGTACTCGCGCTTCTAACGGCGATGACGATTGATTAAAATGAGTACCAGTTGTTGCAGCCATAACGAACTGCGGTGTTGGTAAATTGTCCATTATCCTGTCAGCTAATTCTGCCATGCTTTCCAAACTGCCGGCGTTACATGCAGACAAAATACATCTAACGTTGCTGGGCAAGCGTTGTGCCCACAGAGTTGAAAGGGCATCTTCAGAAATGTTTGTACCCGCTAAATTGCGCATGTCACGCAGTAATTGAGACGGTCGCTTGTCTGATAGCTCTAAGTTTGTAAGCAATTTGATGAGTTGTTTTTGCTTTGACTCACCAAAGCGTCGGATCAATTCTTCTTTTAATGTTGCGTATTTGTCGGAAACTGGAGGCTTCTTTGCGATGTCTGCTACCTGGCCAAGTGTATTTGCGTCAAGTGCCGTGATGACTGTGTAGTATTTGGAGACATCTGATGTTATTCTATTGACATGCAGTAACCCATCGATTTGCGTGAACCATAATTCGGGATCAGAGTGAAGGAAAGGTGGTAATTTGACCACGCCCATCGCTTCTACACTCTGACCTTGTTCGGCTTGACTGGGTGCTGATGCAGCTGCCAAATTGGGGCTGTTTATTTCCTGATTGGCTTCTGTCATGCTCATATTAGTCGCCAACAATTCCGATGAAAAAATTATGTGCGCAAAATTTTTTGGTTTTTGTTTTTTTTTTATCTCTTTAATTATTTAGTCGTGAAAACGACTTATTCGTTTTTGCTTTCTGTATAATTTTATTTTATTACCTTGTTCGGTGTCACCAATTGTGGTATTATTGTTCCACTATAACTCCTTGGTTGCTGACGGCTCGAATGCAAAAGAGAGCGATGCTTACCAGCGTTCTGCTTTTATACGTTTTCTGCTTGTCAAGTCACAACGTTGCCATCGTGCTTTTTGTGTTTTGATAATTATCTGTGGTTGCCAAATCCGCCACATATGTAACATGCTCCCCTTATTTTTGGTTTTTTTTTTGTTATTTTAATTATCGATTAAGTATTTTTAAATGTCTCAAGTACTTTTATTTCTAGGTCTAGGTCTTAATATTCCTGCATATCTATTAGTTTCAACATTCATTTCATTTTGTTCATTATTATTTTCATTCAAAATAATTTGTTGCTGTAATTCATTTCTATTCAATAAATTTTCATGTAAATTTTCATTTTGCGATAATACATTATTTTCATTAAACGTTTCATTTGTTAAATCTACAACAGAATTTTGTAGTGGTCCAACTGTTATATTTGAATCATTTAAATTTGACAAATCAGAATTATACGAATTTGATATGAACTCATTACTGACGAATTGGTTTTCACCTGTTCCTGATCGTATCTGATCCATATGTCGTTTTATGATTCTTTGATTGGGTAAGACACAATAAAACGATCGTGGGCCAATTTTTTCTTTAATTGTTGCTGGAGTCCACGATTTTTTATTAGTATTGGTGTAATCACGAACAAAAACGTTTTGTCCTTTCTTGAAATCTACTGACCTTTGTAATTAGAAATATATTTTTCTTACTTTTCAATAATCTTATCATAAATTAAGGGTGGTTTAATAAAATCAAATCGTGTTCTTATGGATCTACCCAGTAATATTTGAGCCGGACTTTCTTCCGTCGTGCAATGTTTGGTATTACGATAGTCCATGAGAAAACGATTAAGTACGATATCAAGATTTTCATTTTTATTCGAATTCAAATTAGCTTAAATTGATTTTTTAGCGTTTTAACAAAATTTTCCGCCTATCCATTGGTCGATGGTTAACCTGGAGCAGTTAAAATGTATTTGATTTTTAAAGTTTTGAGTTTTTAAAAATTTCAGATACAAATTGTCTGCCATTGTCGCTGACAAGAGTATGTGGAATTCCAAAACGGCAAAAAATTTCTCTTAGTTTGGAAATGACAAAATTGGAGGTTATTTTTATGGTTTTAAACACTTCAACCCACTTAGAGTAAGAATCAACGATAACAAAAAAATGAAAATTTTTAACCGGACCAGCAAAATCAATATGCAGTCTTTGCCAAACAGCGTTTGTTGGTCTCCAGGGAATTAGTGAACTTTTTTCAGGACTAGGCAACAGTTTTTGGCAAGAAATACATGCTTTTATTAGTTCTTCTATTTCTGAATCTAATTTTGGCCACCAAACAAACGTTCGAGCCAATGCTTTGGTTTTAACTATCCCTAAATGAGATTCATGAAGCAAATTAAGGATAACTTTTCTAAGTTTTTGAGGTATAACAACTCGATATTAGTGCTGTTCACATTATTCGAAGTTTTTAAAAAACCGAAGTTCTTCGATTATTCGAATATTCGCATTTCAACGAAGTCTTCGAAGTTGGAAAAAACTTCGAAGTTTTCGTGAATTTTTGTTCTCGAAGTCTTCGAAGTTTAAGTGCAGTGAAAAACTTCGAAGACTTCGTAAGCAAAAGGTGAAGTGAGAGCGCAAAATGCAAACAAACGTGCATCACACAAATTATTTGAGGGATGAAAGCATTTGCTTTGTTTGTACGGTTTTATGTTTTTTTTTGTTATTCTATGCAGAAAATTAAAAACATGTTTTTTTGTTTCATTTTATTACATAAAATTTATTTTATTATTAAACTAGGTGACCCCGCGAACTTCGTACCGCGTAACAGTCAATAAATGTTATATTAAATTATAGGTAAACTAAATTTAGAAATTTATTAACGTAATAAAATGAATACAAAAAATTTATTGTATTCAATAGTTTATTAGGATATTGATATATAATTAATTATTTTAATGGTCTGTCAGCAAGAACCTATGGGTTGCACTCCGGTTGACACTCTTCAATAAAGAACCTTGTGATATACGATATTTTTTGTTTTTTTATCAGGCGCAAGAACAAATAAAGCAGATGGTTTGCCTACACGTGAACATGCCACGTACAATTGACCATGTGAAAAACATGCATTTTCTAGATTCAGACCACAAACACTAAAGGATTGGCCTTGTGATTTATTTATAGTCATAGCGAATGCAAGCCGAATAGGAAATTGAATTCGTTTAAACTCAAAGGGCATATCGATTGAGATCATTCGAATCCTCGGAATGAGAACTTCATCACTTTTGAATTTTCCTTTGAGTATCATTGCGTGAATCACATTGGCCATCAGTTTTGTTATCACTAATCGCGTTCCATTGCATAGTTTTGGTTGGTTTAGATTTCGAAGCATAATGACTACCGAACCAATCTTTAATTGTAAATTGTGCGATGGTAAGCCAGGCATATCCAAGGAGTTCAAAAATTCAGTTGGATAGTTGGTAGCTTCTTCTTCGTTTATTATACAGTCAATAGATTTGAATGTATGCAGAGTACCAACGATTTGATTTTGAATTACAAAGTTTAAGTCATTCACATCTTTGTTCTTAGCTGCTAAAATTGCTCGCTCACTCAACCATTTTCAGTTTTTATGATTATCAATGATGTTTGGAAATACTTCATTGATGAGTTCGTCTTTTGATGAGACGAAATTGCAAAAATTTGAAGGAAATGCTATTAATCCGCTCGATTCTTCAACAGCCACACGGCCATTACCGATTAACAGCAATTGCTTGGAGAACTCTTCAGCCGGTGTATCGTTGACCAATGCAACTCTCATGTTTGTTACCAGCTGAAGTTTCTTTACATAGCGCCAAAGATTTGATGATTTAAGGCAAGCATTTGTTTCGTCGGCAGCAGTCGATTTTGGAATGACTGGGAGTGTTTGGCGAAAATCGCCAGACAGTAAAATCATTGCGCCTCCAAAACATCTCCAGTCATTGCGAAGATCTTTCAATGTTCTGTCAAGTGCTTCTAATGCGCGTTTGTGCGCCATTGTGCATTCGTCCCAGATGATGATTTTAGATGCTACTAAAACTTTAGCCATTGCAGAATGCTTCACAATATTACATATCGGTTGCTCGGTAGTTTGAAGGTTTAACGGCAATTTTAACGCTGAATGATTCACACGGCATCCTTCTAACAATGTAGCCGCTATTCCAGAAGAAGCAACTGCTACCGCAATGTCGGATCTCGCACGAACAGTGGCCAAAATTAATGACATGAGGAATGTTTTACCAGTTCCACCGGGGGCGTCCATGAAAAAAAGCCACCATTTTCTTCATCAATCGCTTTCATTAATGTTAAACTTCCTTCTGTTGCGGATTCAATAGAGGTACATTAGTTTGAACTGATTGGTCTAATTCATGTTGATCATATTCACGTTCATTTTCTTCATCAATCGCTTTCATTAATGTTAAACTTCCTTCTGTTGCGGATTCAATAGAGGTACATTAGTTTGAACTGATTGGTCTAATTCATGTTGATCATATTCACGTTCACGTTCCAATTCTCTATTAAATGCGTTATTTATTCCACGCATTGCTAATCTGACTAACAAACTACCGCAGGTATGGTAACATATGTCTTCGATCAGAGCAAAGCCTGATTATGCATTCCATCATTCACCTTAAGATTGGGATTTCTTGAACTGACACGAATTCTATGTAAAATGTCTTCTGACATGTTATCCTTATATTTGTTCCACAGGTCACGTGAATTCGATGGTATATTGATAACAATATTTATTTATTATATTTGAATTTATTATATTTGAAATTTGAAATATTTGAAAAAAAAATTTAAAAAGAAATCAATATCACTCAAACTGTCGAATTGTCAACAGTTTAAAACAGCATTTACAAAATTATTATTTTTGCTAAAATTAGTGGATTTTTCCAATATTTTATAATGTATTCTTTTATTCGGAGCGGAGACGATTCTAACAAATCAAAGATAATTAAAATCGGTTCAGCCGTTCTTGAGTTATGAGTGGTGTAACTAACACAACTTTCTTTTATGTATATAGATATGTACTATAACATATATTATTATTAAATATGTTATTATTAAATATTATTTATATTAAATAAAAAATTTGCATTTTAAATAACTTATATTTATTATTTATATTTAAAAAATCTTATTTGACAAAATTTTTAATATAATATAAAATACATGAAAATTTGATGAAATTAATATATTGTTTTTGTTATTTTATTTGTAATGGAAATTTAAATAACGTACAAACTCGCTTTATATATTTCTTAAAACTAAATATTAATTCAAATATTCATTTCTTTTATACAATTTTGCTTATACACTAATTTAATTTTATTTAGATACTTCCTTATTATATTATGTATTTCTTTTCCTTGAATAAAGGATTTAAAACTTTTCTATAAACAGTAAAATAACTGTAACTACAACAAAAAAATCAAAATTTTATAATGCAAAAATAAATTTGCGGTTACCTGCGTGATCATTACAGCTCATACAGGTCAAATAATGAGCAAAACTGATTTTTTTATATCTAATTTTCAAGGTTTTAATTTGTGATTTTCTTTTTTAAAGGAAAATGAAAATTTTTATAAACAGCACTAGTTTCTACTGTCGTATGCTTGTTTATATTTAGGCTTTTGTACGACTTGTTAAAAACTTCTTTATGAGCACTGATTTTATTTATGATCTGTTGCCACTCCATCTACCAGTAGGTGATGATGATTACAGGCAATTGATCAAAGATGGATAGGTTAAAGCTATTT